AAAAAAAACTAAGAACCCCCAGGCTGCTTTTGCGTGAAAGCACGCTTTTGCCGAGCTGCAATAGCCATGTCGCCACCACGTTTTATATATCTTTTGCAATCACGGAGATGTCTAACCCACACACTGTGGAATGGTTCGCCATTGGAAAGCCTACTGTTGAGTTTCCCAAAGAAGAGCAAGAATCCGACAGTAAGCACAGAATTGTTTGAACCAATCATCGCATGCTCAATCTTTCTTGCATATAGGATGTGCTTCCACAACTCATCTGTTGCATTGACAATACCGCAGTAGAAAAGGGGATGATTGCGTAAGCTATTGCGTGACATTTTCCTATTCGCCCAAACATAATCGTCACCTTCCTTCTTTGTGGCAAATCGTACTACGTCCCACCACACAGACGGCCAGGCAACTGAGTCCAGACCGGCATGTGACGCTGTCTGAACCAGCGGATCAAACATCATTTGTATGTTCGAAGTGTTTCGCAGCTCATCGAAAGTTGTCCATGGCAGCATCAATGATTTCTGCTTTACCAAACTATGCCGCTTAGAAATTGTTTTCCCCAGCTTGTCATCTCGATGCTGGTGCCACAATGTGAACAGCCCGTCTGCCCAAATTGGCACGCTACTGCTATTTGCATCAAGTCCTGCAAGCTGTCTGCCATATCGGATAAGCTTATCTGACATGTGCAAACGAATTGCCGTTTCGTAGGTGGTAATCCAGGGGAAACCGTAACCGCCATCGCCTATTGGCAGTGCAATAATTTCATCATTGCACTGTACCTTAAGAATGTCGCGAAATACACGCAACAACGCCCGTTGCAAGACCTCGATATTCAGCATTCTACCAGACACAATGTGTAGTGCAGCCGAAATCTTCGGCACCACCGTCTCCCGAATTAAAATTGCTCGACCAAAAGGTGAATCCTCGGCCAAAGTCTGAGAAATTGCGTCTGCTACGATCTCTGCACCGAATCTGCGCCAATAGTCGTGTGCCGCTTTGTTTTCTCCTCCAACGCAGAATACTTGTCCAAAACAATCCATCGCGCTCCCAGGATCCATAACAAGAAAGTTTTTGGGTAGATTGGCAGAACCAAAATCGCCAATTCCATTTGAGCAAACTGAACGCTCAATGGAAAGTACTCGTATCCCACACTTTATACGGATTTGCGATAATGGCTTTATTAGCGACAAAACGCCAGCCATAGAACGCACAAGAACAACACATGTGTCGTTATATATAACATGTGTTATCAATTTGTTGCCAACTGGTACTCCAACATGACCATGTTTATCCTTTTTCAGCTCAATGCTAAAAAGATCCAAAGTCACAGCAAGCATAATGCGCGACAGTGGATCACCAGTTGGAAATCCCCGCCGAACAGGGAAATAGTCAGTTAGCCCCCCATTCACCTCGACCGCAGCGGACATTGTGTCCATCAAAGCTTGGACAAAGTTAACCATAGGCTTGGGAACGCCGAGTTTCGCCAAGTGAGCAAACACTGGGGCACGCAAAATCGTATCCCCAATTCTTCCAAAATACAGCTTGACAAACCCGCCGGCTGCATCCATTTGCTCAAGCGACTTTGCAGCCACCTGCAAAGTGTATATTGCGTCTCTCCCGTGAAGTTCCTCGCCAAGTGTCAATACCTCGGGCGACAAACGTGATCCAAGAAAGAGTCGCAGGCGCTCAGCAAACACGTGTGAAATAATGCGATACTCCACGTTGAAGACGAATATTCTGCGGAAATTCGACAGCAGTGAGCGATCGCCATGGTCATGGACGAGCTTTACGTATGCCTGAGCGAAACCGGCAGGAATGAGTGCCGGATTGCAGAGCATTTTGTTGGTGATGGCCTGCAATGCATATCGCGCACAAACTGATTTTTCATACTGGCCACGCGGCGTACCACTCGGTCCAGGGGAGGTGTAATGATTCAATGCTTTAACAGCGTTGCTTATCTCCAATTCCCCCACCAGCTCAGGAAGATCCAGAGACTCCTCAACAACGCCTTGAGGTTTAATCGCTGGACCATGGAACAATTCACGCTCGTGGTTGAATACGATTTCAGACATTTCGCT